TCTATGAAATAAATACCCCACTATATACAACCCATAATCCCAATATCTCTTAGAAACCTAAAAAGTTTTTCCTTAAACTCGCTGCCATGCTCGAGCATTCTCCTATAATCCGGCGGTATTCCATTTCGGTCCCTATACGGGGCCAAGCTGCGACACCCCTCCAACACGTGCGACACCGTGAGTCTGTCAACTTGGCATGCTGGGCACCTAGGCCGACTCGCGCCAACCAACAGGTACCCATGAGTCGCACGTGTGTGGCCGATCCGCAGGCGTTCAGTCTTAAATATTTGACTTTAATGGAGATCAAGCTCCTCGTTGTTGATGTTACTGTGTGAGATTTTTTATTAAATACAAACGCACATTGGGTACATTTTCCTCTTGTCCTTTACACGATTTTTTTGCATGACTTCGTTTAATTAAATCATAAATCACTTTATTTTTTAAAATTATGATTGAAACCGTAACAATGAAATGGCTCTGTAAAAATAATCATCCTTTTTACGCACAAAAAGTAGGCATGTTTTAATAAACGAACAAACTTTTTGTTTTAAATTACCATAGCATTAACAATTAATGTGTGGTGATTAGAGAGGCACTCTCAACACGACACGCAAGAATGGCACAATTACACAGAACACAAACACTTTGAGCCCTGAAGATGATCTCAATAAAGATCGAAACGTTGGAACGATAAAGAAAATGTTTTTCTGAAACCTACATCACACCAGACCGCATCTTACGATTTCTGAATAATTAACAATAAAACAAAAATAATTTTTTTAAACAACATACATTTTATACGACAAAATTACTGCGGCTTAAAGCCAATAATGTTACGCTAAATATAAATTAACCAAAAAAAGAAGATAAAAATAAAAATTCTGAATAACGCTTTATCGTATTGTTTTTCAAATAAATCATAATAGTTTAAAATAACAACAAAAGTAATAAAACAATCGATTAAAAAATTATTTAAAAAGTTTAAATTTTTTAATTGTTTACTGAGAAAACAAGTGACTAGCATTTGTTTATGTTGCGGTAGCGGTTCATTTGCATTGAATTTGGAAATAATTAAACAACATAACAAGTTGCATAGGTGAACTGGGTGGATTGAAACTACAAACATATTATTTTATAAAACCCTTGAATTCTATGTATATTTTTAAATTTGAAAATTTTCTAATAAAATAATAAAGATTATAATGTTATTGATTACATTTTCTTAATCTGACATTTACTATATTTATTTTTTTGAAAAAATTACCATGTTAGTGTTTCTTAGTATAAAACCGAATTCTGCATAATTATGACAATCAATAACAACTTTTATTTTATTTCTGGAATGATAAGATGAAACATGGAATTAATTTGATTAAGCAATGAATTAAGTAATGCAATAATTTATTTAGGAATAAACAAACGAATGCTGTAATGCTGTAAAAAACACCAATACTTTCTGTAACGTGGCAAAAAAGTCAAAACTTTTTTTTGATTTTTTTTGCGACTGATATAAATATTTTGAAATTAAGCCGAATGAGGTGAAAGTAATCTATGTTGACAGTGGATTTTTAACAGCTACAAGGTGGTCTCAAAAATGGCAGTATTTGTTAAAAATAACTTCAAAGTCCTAGATGACATCGTCAATGACCATTGAATTTGTAAACAAACAAGTTAAGTTAATTTGAGGCTTTTCCTTAGACATTCTTATGACTTTACACTTATTTTAATTTAATTTAAGATTATTATTGTCGCAGAAGCAAAGCAGTTAACTAGATTGCTCAAATTAAGGAATTGGTCGAAAGATTTTTAGGCCATCAAAAGTGAAATTGAGGGATTTTTAAGGATTGATCCAATGTCATTGAAAATTTTTGGAAACAATACTGGCCTAGAATGATAGCCTTGGGGCACACCGGAGTCAATAATGAGAGGGGACGATAATCCTTCCACGAATCTTACAATAAAGGATTTCTCCTACAGAAAATAATTGATACATCCAAGAAGGGGATGACCTAATCCTAGTTTTTCCATTCGTGCCACGATAAAGAAAATGTTTTTCTGAAACCTACATCACACCAGACCGCAACTCACGATTTCTAAATAACTAGTTTTACTAATGGTCATTGAAAGATTATCTGGGTTTGATAAATATGCTGAGATCTTTAACTATTTTATGTCTAGTTAGGAGCCAGTATGATATAAATGTAACAGTTATAGCTAAAGAACTAATATAACTATAAAAACATATGTACTTAATCGAAATGAAACTTGTATATTTAGAAAAAAGAAGGAGAAATATAAACCAACATAAGAAAACCGTTTGTTTAACTTTTTATTTCATTTGAAAGTTATTTCTTTCTTATAATAATGTTTTATAAAATAAACTAATATTTTATTAATTTATCGTTTTACATGTGTTTCTATAACTTGATGATAATCTACAAGAGGGAAGGATTTAATGTTATTCGTATTCAAGGGTGCAAAAAGTCAAATATTTTGTCATTATTTTACGATTTATAATCTTATCGGGGTGCTAGTTATTTAATTAAAAATTTAAACTGCGTTGTTTTATAGGATTTTACTTTTATTATTATTATTTTGTAATTTTGCAATTTTTTCTACCTCTCACAGCAAACCTAGAAAATAGACTTAAAATACTCACGCGTGTTCAGACGAAAAAATTGAAACGTATTATAATAATATTATAACAAATGATTTACCAATACTTTATGGCTTTATTCTAAAACCTATTTCGTGTCGTCTAACATTACATTTCATTAGTAAAATTTTTCTGTATGTACGTGGGTGTATGTTTATTTATGTAATGATAACTCACACCAACGAATATTTTGTTTAATTTAAATTTCAAAAATTTATACCAAACAAGTTTGCATTATTTCACAATATATAAATTTGTAGAGTTCCGTTTTAGTTTGTAATTATTAGGTCTTATTTTAACCTCTTGTTTTATAGTTGAAAGCCGAAATAGTTTAAACAATTGTTATGATTTACATCATGATGATTTAGAGTTTATTTTTGTTTACATTCCAAAGTTGTTTATAATCCAAGGACCAAACCATAGAGGTGGTGGATTTTTTAAAATTAAAATTTTTGAACTCACTCCTTAACTCTCTTTCTTTCTCTTTCCTCTTTCCCCCTCTTACTTATTTCTCTATTATTTATTAATAATATATTCATAACTCTCGTGTAAGTAATGATTTTTCCTTATTCTTGTATATTTATTTATCTGTTTAACTTTAAAACATTGTTTTAAAATCTCCACTCTTAGTTTATTAACAATACTTTAATTTAAAATAAAAATTGTTTCATTTTTGTTATGTAAAGAATTGGTCACGGTCTAGTGTAGGTTTGGTTGAAAGTTCCCATTCGAACTTATCGAATCTTATTTTTTAAACATTAATCTATTTCCTATTTATTATTTAAACCTTTTTACACTAGTAGAATATAATAATCCAATTTAATCTTAGTCTTTTTTTAAATTTTTTATTTCGCAGAATGATTTGGCTGGAATGTGTGGAATAAATCATAAAATTTTCTTATTATAAGATTAATGTGAACTTAATTTTTAAAATTATGTTTCTTTTGGAGCAGCTTGTGCAGTGTTTAGACATTGTTGTCTTTAAGGAAAGTTGTATTTATGCAATGCTGGCAACACATAAATAACGATAATATTTTTTCCTGATTTTTTTATTTTATTTTATTCCATTTAAAGCCTTCAAACAGTCTTTGAGTTCATTAAGCCATAAAAATCAATTAAATAAAGCGTTTATATATTAAACTTTCATTTATAAAACCTGGAGTTATTCGCTTCGGGGGCAACGCATAGGCTAAACCATCACGACGTCTCGGTCTTGAAGGTGAGGTATCGTGAAAACGCAATTAAGAAACAAAAACTCTCGTTATTTATCTTGACTTATTAAACTTTCTATTAATCCAAAACTAGATAATGAATTACCGGGAAAAAAACGCTGATGATAAGCGGCTCAGGTTAACAAGTCACATTCCAACAACACAGTAAATAAGAATCGTCGAAAGTAGAGAAGGGAATTTTATGCGTTTACATATTCTTTTATTGACCTATTACAACTTATTATTGATGTTTTATGAGTTTTATTTTTTTATGATGTTTTATTAAGCAAAACCTTACATATGCCTAACAAACTAAACGAAATTGTTATCAAGACTAAAAAAGAACACAAGTTTACAAAATTACAAGTAAAAAATGGAATTAAAATATGAAATCTATGATATCCCATAATACAAAAAATAAATGATAAATATCTGCAAAATTAAGAAAATACATGAAAAAAATTTAATGTATCCTAAAATATATGAAATTATGTACCACCATAATTTCACATATATTTTGGGATAACATGCTAATGTTACACAATTTCATATATTTTGGGGTATAATAAATTGTTTTCATATATCTAATTAATTTTACAGATTTTTATCATATATTTTATTATATTATGGGATATCATTGATTTAAAATTATAATTCCATCTTTTACTTGAAATTGTTTAACTTTTGTTCTTCTTTAGTTTTGATAACAGTTTCGTGCAGTTTATTAGACATATGTGAGGTTTTTCTTAATAAACATATCTAATCAATGACACAATAAAAATTATCCATAACTATATGAAAGAAAAAGAAAACGAATAAGGAGACCATTATTAATTATACAATTTTAAATCGCTGGACGAAATGTGCAAGTTTTGTTTACTTAATGACAAATTACTAGAAGAAAATGCTCAGGTTTTGTTTATATTATAAAGTTTTAAAAGATTTGGCTAATTTTACGATCCCGTTATTTTATGGTTTATAGTCATGTAAGGGTTGTCGAGTTAAAAAATTTTTTTTTGGTAGATATAGTTTTTCTTAAAAAACTAGAATTTATTATGATTTTATTAAACTTTTCTGCACTTCAAATGAAACAAAGTATAAGCGAGGAAGATAAATAATTTTTAAAAACGTACCTGTGCCCATTCTCCAGACACCAAGAGGTCAAACCATTATGTAGGTCATTAATTTTTTGACTTACACTGAAAAGTATTGAAACAGAAGTTCACTATGTTGTACTAAAAAAAATTATTATAAATAAATATTTTTAAAAACTTACCCACTTCAAAAAATTAATTTTTTGTATGTTTACAAAGGTGTGACGGAAGAGGAAACCAGTGACAGAATGGTTTGACTATTTGAGGGTGGGGATATATATATATATATATATAGAGTGAGAGAGGGTGCGAGGGGGTAGAAGGAGAGTGAGAATGTGTGTGCTGAGTGAGAAGAGGGATGATTTTGGGGGCGTGGATCGGATAGGCGTGGTCAACCCCCACCAAAGTAGCCGGGGGGTGACTAGAGCAGTAGAGTCAGTAACAACTTAGCACCAACTCCCACCCTTCAGGCACCACCTAGTACACAATCAATCCAGGCCAACACCCCACTCTTCATATTGAAGGGAAAAGGCCAAAGAGCCATTTGATTGATTTATGCAAGTGTTTAGCTGCCTCCTGGCCATCAAGTAAAAAGTTGTGAACCTCCTCCTCGGATTCTCTCCCATCCGACGACTTGTCGATGTTTAAACTGGTTAATTTTCAATGGGATCGGAAGTTAAAACATCACTTTTTTCCGTTTGACTATTATGAATGATTTGATTATAAAATACGACACAAATATGAAAATCCTCTTCAAAGATTTAATACTGATTACTTCAGCATGAATAAAATATTTAGCATAAATTGTGAAAATATTTATCAGATCGACATATAAAAACATAATTTTTTTCTAGAAATGACACAGTTTTTTGACGAGACATAAAGTGCGAGCGGGAAAGAGTGATTGATTGATTGATTGATTGACCGATTGATTAATGTTTTATTTTATTAGAAAGAGAGAAGTAGAGAGATATAAAGATCGATAGATAGAGAGATAGAATGAGATAGATAAATAGATAGATAGAGAGTGAGAGAAAGAGAGAGAGAGTGAGAAAAAGAGAGAGAGAGAGAGAGAGAGAGAGTGAGAGAGAGAGAGCAATTAATCCTTTTATGTAAGGTTTTGGTTGAAATGAAAAAACTAGTGCCACGATCGGGATTCGAACCCACGATTTTCGGCCAGACACGCCGCTGCTCTACCACTTGAGCTATCGTGACCTCGATCTACTCGGACACTAACTTCCCATCTCAACCCCAACATTTTGAATTTTCCCTCCTTTTTTTTGCCATTTTTCAAATGTCGTGTAATCGAGTATTTTTTTTAGCCATTTCATTCGTCGCCGAGAATTAAATAGATTACACGAAATATAAAAATGTCAAAAAAAGAAGGGAAAATTCAAAAATGTGGGGGTTGAGATGGGAAGTTAGTGTCCGAGTTGATCGAGGTCACGATAGCTCAAGTGGTAGAGCAGCGGCTTATCTAGATCGTGGGTTCGAATCCCGCTCGTGACACGTTTTTATCTCAACAAAAAACCTTCATTAATTGAATTTCTATTTACATAGGACATACACATTGGTTATAAACATGTCGTACCAAGAGATAATTCGTCAGTTCATAAAAAAAAGTTCACTGTTAATTATAAAATGTTTTTTTTTTCTCATGGCTTTGAAAACCCATAATTCATGCGTGCTTATTGTATGAACCCAGTACTATGGCGGCCGAAACAGTAAATATTTTAAGTTTAGTAAATAATTGCAATAGGTATAATTTATATTTTTGTTATTTACAGGTTATTTTGAAAGAAAAATATAAGATTTAGCTAAATAAAAAATTAAACAAGCAGTTAAACTGAATAAACCAATTTTACCAAAAATCTTGCTGTGAAAAAATTGTTACTTGTTACTTTAAAAAAATCTATTGTCCTGGATGTTGAAGGCTGATTTATTTGTTTAAATCTCTTCGCAAATTAAAAAAGAAACATACATATTATATGTTCTTTATCAATTGTAATTGATAGGGTGGTTTTTAATTTTTTAAATTTTTTCCAGAAGAACATTGAATTTACAATTAATTAATCTCATGTCGCAATTGAGGTTAATAATATTTTTCTTTGTATTTTGCAACAATTTGTACAATGTGAGAAGGCCGGATTTAAAAATTCATACCAAATTTTTCCATTATTCATATTTTGATCCGAATTTTCCTTCGTCTTCAGTTTAGATTGGATGAATTCAGCAGGGAGAACATACGGGCCCATAATGGTCAGCGGTTCAACAACTCGTAGCCTGCTAGACATAAATTTAAAATTAGCGATTGCTTCTGGCAAAACCAAATGAAGCGCTGAAAATAACTTTTGGGGGCGTCGGTGGCCGCAACGGTTTAGGCGCCCATCATTGTGAGGTAATGGTCCCGGGTTCGAACCCCTCATACTCAAAAATGGGCTTTTTTCAAAAATACCAGCACCCCGAGGGTTGATATAACCTCTGCTGTTGCAAATCCTCGATAAAAAAATAAATAAATAAAGATTATAACGTCACGATAGCTCAAGTGGTAGAGCAGCGGTGTATCTAGACGAAGATCGTGGGTTCGAATCCTGCTCGTGCCATTGACTTTTTTTTATCTCAACTAGAAACCTTAATTAATTGTAATATATTAATTGGTCAAGCGGACCGCGAAATTAGTGAATTTAAAGATTATAACTTATTATATTATAAGTTCATTTTTATTAGGCAGGTACATTTATTAGATTTTGACAACAAATATTTTGCCAGGAAATTTGTTTGTACATAGACAAATAAATATAACTTTAAAATACTGTTATACCAACATATAAAAATTGAAGGATGATTGTTTAAAAATCTTAAAAGAGATTGTCTTTATGAATCCGATGGGTAATGTTAAAAAATAAATCGATTTTACTGGTATTTTTATTTCATTACTGCAACAACCGGTGTTCCCGTCGGTAAAAAAAATTGTCTTTCGGGCAAAGTAAAGACATCGAAAACGAATCAATTCAAGCGATAAAGGGCTAATTAAGGGAAACAAGGGTAAGGTACCCTTAAAACAACAATCCTCGAATTCTGTATCCGTGCCCTTTTTCCCCGCTGAGATTCGTTCTTTCAATTTTCAAAATCAAAACATTTGACTTCGAAAGCAACGTTTACGCCATAAAAACAGAACATAAAAAAAATAACGGCGAATCTTTTTTCCAGGAGCTGTAGCAAACGGAACAGAGCTAACGGAGAGAAACAAGTTTTTGTAATTTAAAGATAATACAACGATGTTGTTAAAATCGCTCCTTAATAAAAATAATCGTGAAATTAAAAAATACGAATTGAGTGCTTGGTTTGTTAAAATTTTGCTTATTTATTTGGACAAATCGGGAACTTTTTTAAAAATCGTAAAAGTTGTGACCTGTCGTCCTTCTTTAGATTATATTGACCCTAAAGTCTCAAGAGAGCTCACAGCATAGTAGGTATCGTAATCCAAATTAATGTACGGAATGCACATAAATTTATCTGTCATAAAAAGTTGGAAAATTGATATCAATAAGTGAAGAGGACTATTCTATTAATTAAACTTATCAAATCCAATTCTTGTGCTGTTATGTTTGCAAGAATATACATAATACCATTGATTTGGCTAATTGCGGATTTTTGTTGGGTGGTCTGAAAATCTGTGAGATTTGAACTTTGGTCATAGCTCACCTCCAGGTACTAACAAATGAATATGGAAAAATATTAAAACTGGCTGTCGTGACGATCTATCAAGTGGTAAGAGCAGCAGCGTATTGAGTCGAAGGTCCTGGGTTCGATTCCCGTTCGTGACTAACTTTTTCATTTCGACCAAGACATTACATAAAAAGAATAATAAAAGGTAATTGAGAGAAGTAATTTGGTCAATAGTCCACTAAACATAGACGATATATTAATCTCGATCACAGTTTGGTAATCGACACAAGAAAGGCATCAAATATTTATGATCGTTTATTTTTGATTAATTTTTTATTTTATTAAAACTAAAATCTAATTTGTTTCCTTTTGACATTAATCTATTGCAAGGATTATGTTTCATATAGTTGGTAAAAGCCAGATTTGGATAAAATGTATTTAAATTTCTAAAATTCCTGGGAACATTTTAATTTATAATTTCAAAAAATTCAGTCATCAATTTTTCCTTTTAACAGTTTAAATAAGAACAATAGGTCTAACATGGTTCTTCTATTAACTATCTTTAAGAGATCAAATCCTTGAGGATAACAGAGTAATCATTGGGATCCCTATTTAATTTTATTTTAAAAGCTGCATATCGGAGAAATTGATTTTTTACCATTTCAAGTTTTTGAACATGTTTATGATAATTAGGTGTCCACACTATTAGCTCAAGTAGTAGAGTAGCGGCGTATCAAGCCGAAGGTCGTGGGTTCGAATCCCGCTCGTGACACTGACTTTTTTACCTCAACGTAAAACTTAATTAATTAAATGGTATTAATTGGTCAAGCGGACCTCGAAAAATAGTGAACTTCTGTCTAAAATACATTTGACTGTCAAATATTTAAAAGCTGTTCAGGAATTAATGTTAACCAGGAGTATCAGACGCGGTCAAAATCATGACAATGCTTGCTTATTTGGCAAAATTTTAGAATAGATGGCAAGTCATTAATAAATAATTTGAATAAAAGTGGGGGCAAATATCCTCCCGGCAGTACAGTAATATTGTAATGATTTTATTATTATAGAATAATTATATGATATATGGTATTATAATAATATTATAATTACAAACTTTAGAATTGTAATTTTGTATTAAAAATTCAAGGATAAGGCTGATTTAAAAGAAAAAACATTCAGTTCCTTGGACGAGCTTTTGAGAAATAAGTCCCTTTCATCCCGACTTTGAGGCTATTAATACTAAACTCAGTCTGTAAACTTTAACGTCATCAGGAAACATTTTTACTTGGCAAAATTTTGGTACAGATAGCAAGTCATTAATAAATAATTTGAATAAAAGTGGGGACAAATGTCCTCCCTGCAGTACAGTAATATTACAATTATCTTATTATTATATATTAATTATATGATACATGATATTATAA